CAGATTAGTTTCCGTGTAGGTAATATATCTTTACTTGTAATTGTAAACCATGCCTTTGTAAGCATTAGTTATCTAAGGTTTTTTCTTTAAATGTCGATTTTCAGTTCTAATTCATTGATGAAATAACTTCATGCAAACACCCACCTATAAAACACTCCCAATATTTAATGTTTACTTGTAAGATAAATAAATTGTAGGAATGTTTAGAAACATTTTCCTGAATAGTAAGACATAATGTTTACCTATGGAATAATTAAGTGTACATTTCTACTGGTGGAATAGATGTTAAAATGTATACATACCATATAGGCATGTAAATGTCTATGTGGAATAGATGAATAAATGTCTACCTGTGGAATAGGTATATAAATGTCTACCTGTGGAATAGATGTATAAATGTCTACCTTTGGAATAGATATATAAATGTCTACCTGTGGAATAGATGTATAAATGTCTGCCTGTGGAATAGATGTATAAATGTCTCCCTGTGGAATAGGTATATAAATGTCTACCTGTGGAATAGATGTATAAATGTCTACCTGTGGAATAGATGTATAAATGTCTACCTGTGGAATAGATGTATAAATGTCTACCTGTGGAATAGGTATATAAATGTTTACCTGTGGAATAGATATATAAATGTCTACCTGTGGAATAGAGGTATAAATGTCTACCTGTGGAATAGGTATATAAATGTCTACATATGGAATAGGTATATAAATGTCTGCATATGGAATAGATATATAAATGTCTACATGTGGAGTAGTCTAAATGCATTAATGTCTATACCTTTGGAATATATGTGCAATCATCTATTTATGGAATAGATTTACAGATGTCTTGATGTGAAATAGATGTGAAAATCACTGCCAACAGAATAGTTGTGCAAATGCCTACCAATGGAATAGGCATATTAATGTCTGCCCATGGAATAAGTATATCAATGTCTACCTGTAGAATAGATGTACATATATATGCCTATATGTGGAATTGTTATATCAGTGTCTGCCTGTATGTATATGAATGTATACATGTGGAATTATTTGGAATATAGCCATGTTAGTGAATTGATTAGAAAGGTTTTGATTTCTCTCAAAATGTGTAATAGGATGAGAAATGGACAAAATCAATTTATTTCTCGCTTTTTTTCTAGAAACTGTTGTACCTCAAAGCTGATATAGTGGCAGTACCTTGGATTCTGTCAAGCAAAGGTAAGACATAATTTAAAATACATTGTGTGAATTTTATATTACAGTAAATGTTCCTAATAAAAGCATAAATTAACCTTATCCACTGAATAATCATTCTTAATTCTTCAAATATGAAAAAAAACAGTTTGTGGAGAATTATCAGAAGATGATGGATGAATTACAGAAACTTAAAAATTAACACAGAACATGAATATTTAATGATACAATGTAGAAGTTAAAAGTCATTAAAACATCACTGTAATCTAAGTGGAAGAGTATGTTTGCCCTCAGTGTCAGTCAGTCATAATTTAGATAAGGAACTATTTTCAGTGAACAGTCTCAGCTCTAATGGGTGTACTTTTATATATATAATTGACTTGTGGAAGAAAAATGTTTTACTGTATATCTCATCTGATAACCAGAACTGGAATTTTAAACAGTTATGCTTATAACAAGCGATGAACTAAAAGGTTTTCTGTGCAGTATGTGTAAAAGTCAGTGAAGTTTGAAAAGCTTTTTGGTTCAAGGACTGTTCGGGTTGTGTCATATTGATCAGCAATGAAATATTTCATTTCTAATGAAAATTATAGTGATTTATCACCCAGAAATCAACAGGTGATCAAGGCCTGATATATACAGATCAGAGAGCTAACAGATTGTGACTCCTGAGCAGATTGATACAGAACAGATGAATTGACAATATTCTATTCAATTAGTCTGCGACTGAATATTACCTGATCTTGAATTGTGATAGATGACTATTGGGACTCAGTTTGTTAAAACAACAGATGTGTGTTGAAACCCAGGATTAATAATTTGTCTAATGCTAGGATGCATATTAAGTAGTTCTGGTGTTGACTCACTGCATAATCTAACTTTACATTATTGGTAATTATCTCCCCTTGTCAAGAATAGTTCGAAGCCCTGTTGACAAAGTGCAGTTTATCATGACATGTAAGGTTAGAAATTAATTAGCAATGCCAGATCAGAGAAAGATTTATTGATTTTGATTTAGTCATCACATTGAAATGTTGGAAACAAGAATGTTATATTTTTTGGATGCTATAATGAATTAAAACGCTCCAATATGATCAAGGATAATCAATATGATTAATTGTCAGAGTGTGTATAGCTGATATCAGCAGTCTATTTGATCTTTTTAGGGTTTTTTATACTTAAAATTTATGTATTTATACATGAGATTTTTGACGTAGTAAACAGTTCTCCATATGTCAAAAAATCATTTCTTCAGTCATCATCAGTATGCCCTACATTAAATTTCACATTTGAGTTTTTATCAGAATACACTTTCAGGGAAATATCATATAAAGTTGATCTTTCATAAGAATCTGATTGAAATGTTCATTGGTACTGTACAGTTACCTTATGCAAATGACCTAAAAAGTTATTTAACAAGATTAGTTAATCCTAGATTACATTGATGCAAGTATAAGATTCTATTTATCACAAAACTTTAATTCATTAGAAAAGAATGAATGCAAAACACAAAATTATTTCCCAGTTAGACATTTAGAATTCATTTTCCTAATAACATTTTTCACTCACCAAGATCTTGTCTGTTTATGATGTCACTAAATGTTATTACAGTACACATCATACAATATTCATGATATGGGCCTTTTATATGGAAGCATAATCCAATTACATGCTAGAATTAATTACTCTTTGTTCTATCTGAGAATGAATTAGCAGGTGCTAGAACTAGATCTGGATGTTGTCCAGACAAAGGACTGGAGTAGGATGATTCTGGGATGGTTAGGGGCCCCTGGTGGTCTGTCACACTAAATTCTTCTTGTTTACTTTAGATTCTAGTTGTTATTTGATTGATTATCTATAAATGGATGTAGACAATGTTACATAGATTATTAGGGACCACTTAATTATTAGCATCTGCATCCAGCCTTAAATTCTGTTATCAGAGGAGAAAAAATTAGCAACACCAAAGATTTTTTGCAAGAAAAATTACATAATTGTTGAACTACTGTTAATTAATACCTTTAATTAACACAGATGTTAATAATACTATAAGCTATAGAAAACCAAACTTGTTTGATTTCATTTTAACATAATATGTAGTCAAAACATATCAAGTAGATTATTTATACTGGTGACAGAGCAGCAGAGTAAGCTGAAGGAACTGATTTGAAAGATATGAAAATGGTCAGATTGTATATACCAGTAACAGGAAGGAAATGGATATATATAGAAAATGGAACGAATGTTCTCACTGGGTTGTTATTGGTAGGAGGATGGTGATATAGTAATTAAATTAATAGGTGTTGTAATAATAAGTGTACTGAGTCAACTCAGTTGGTGATGTTAGCACTTCAATCTCAAGTGTAAACATTAGACAGTAAATGTGCCTGCAGATGTTAGTGAATGACATGTAGCTGTTATACATGGTACATCATATACCCACGTATCTTCACTGAGATTCTTGGACAGAATGATATGAGTTATGTATTTGGTAAAATTTACTGAATTTGTGTTTTATTAGGGATAGCTGCAGTCAATTAAAACATTTTCCTATTGTCTCAAGTGAGTTGTTTTAAGATCCAAAGTGTATGGTTCAAAGCGTCCTACCTTTGGCTGTTTGTGTTTCTCAGGAATCTGAGAAACATATCATCTTTGCTGATGTTGTTATGTTTTTGGGCAAGTAACCCTTATTGCTTAGAGAGGAATGTGACAGGTCTCCCCCCCTCACCCCCCCCCCCCCCCACCCCCCCACCCCCCTCCTCCCAATCTTCATTCTGGGCTTATTGTCACTTATAGTTGAGAAAATCATAAGGAATGACCCATGTGCTTTATTAACCAAAATCAATGAAAAAAATACAAATATTGATGCTATTTTCTTTTATTTAGTAGTATTAATAATGGTTAAGCCCTATATGCCATATTTATAATTTTTTACTTTGACCAAATCTAGCTGCTATCAGAAAAGCCATACTGTCATTCTGTTTTGTTAGTGACCAATTGTTTTGCCTGTTGATATTACTTGATTTCACCTGCGAGTTGTTTGGACTGATCATCCTATTTAGCAACATTTTCTTCAGGTTGGTAATGTCAATAGAATGCTGTTATAACACAACTAGTAGAAGATACAAGTGTAAAAGTTTGTTGATTCTTTACCATCTCGTATACTATGTAGTCAGTACTAGTACACTCCACACTGGTCATTTGTCTAATGTAGGTGACCGTGTAGTGATCAAAACATCACACTCAAAAATCTTCTACCTATTGTGTTGTAAGAACTTCTATTCTACTAAAACATCCTGTTCCATGACCTGGTATACAAAATACAAATACATTGTATATATTCCTGCATATCTGCTTGATCACACAAACAGGAATCAAACTAAGGACTTCAACATGATTGTTCATGGCTTTATATACTCACTGACACGACCAGGCCATTTGTTGTGAGCAGCATCACAATCTAATGTTATGTACACACCATGCTTGACTAACGCAGACTTTTTACATGTTGTTAATTGTTACAAACATAAACAGTTTAAGATAAAGGTGTTATTTACAAGTAAATCTAAAGCTGTGAAGTTCATGTTACAGTATTATAGGTTCAGTATGGAACTTTCCTAATCTTCTTATAGAGTTAACACTGTCCTGTAACAGTACTTATGACTTATCCGCTCCACCTGATAATCAAACAAGCCAGAGATTAATGTTATGCTACTACTCCAGTTGTGTGTATATAGATATACCGGTCCTGCAGATCAAGATTCCTGGTGTAGATAAGTTACATATCTTCATTTATAATCACTGAGGACCTGTGTATGTATAGGATCCTAGTGGAAGGGACACCACACTACTTGGTGGTAAGGAATACCTGTGTATGTATAGGATCCTAGTGGAAGGGGCACAGCTCTACTAAGTGGTAAGGAATACCTGTGTATGTATGGGATCCTAGTGGAAGGGACACAGCTCTACTAAGTGAGGAACTGTTTTTTTAAAAGATCCCAATGGAAGGGACACTGTGAAGGTCTACAGAGTAATGAGGAGTATACCTTGGAACCCAGTGGAAGGGACGTGACTATACTTGATGATAAGGAATACCTGTTTATTTAAAAGATCTTAATGAAAGGGACATCGCAAGGGCTACAGAGTGGTAATGAGTGTCTTGTATCCCAGCAATAGGGACAATTCTACAATGTGGTAAGGAAAACTTGTGTCCCAGTGGAAGCGATGTCTTGAAGGTCTACAGAGTGATGAGGAGTACCAGTGTGTTTATAGAATTCCAGTAGAATGCACTTCATGTATGTAAAGGGTTACATTGGCAAAACTACCAATACCACAGTGTCCCATTAGAAACAGTTCTACAGGGTGGTCTACACCTGAGTCAGTGACCCCTTATATCATAAGATCTGTTTGTAAAAGATTATTTGAGTGGTGTCTGACACCACCTTACCTAACATTGGACAAGTCCTCTACAGAATGATTGTTGAGTCTGTGCTATGTTACCACTTACAGTGAATCACTGGAGCTTTACTATATACATGAAAAGTTAATCTGGATTCTGTAACTCTTGTGAGGATGTTATTTTTCTCTTAGTTTGGAATAAAATACCTGAAAAGCTATTTCATTGATTAGTTACCTACTGGATTTACACTTCCTGTTTGGGGATTTGGTGCTTACTTCTGTGTAATGGATAAAAAGGTCAGTATCAAAACTGCCAATTCTTTTACTTTATACTGATTTATTGTGCAATATAAGCCCATTTCTATTAATTAAGCCCACTGCAAATTCTGTGGTGGAAAATCGTAATTATTTCAATGTTCTATAATAAGCCTATCCGTTGACTGTGGTTTCATGGCAGTACTTCAGTTGTTATGGTTACTCCTTATATTTAAAAATTAGGTTCTGACATACTCAAGAGAAGAAATAAAAGTGATTTTTTTTTATTTTGGCATCTCAATAAAAAATATTAATGGACGTGATATAATAAGAATATTGAAGACATAAAGGTCTTCTTCAGAACAGATTTTGTGGTGCAGATTAATTACAAATATTATTCTTGACAATAAATTTTCACCTACAGAGTGAGAAGATATTGTTATACCAAGAATTTTGATTATATAGATAGATTTATATTCTGTGAGTGTGATGGATGGATCTTACCCTACACTTATGTCTTACTGACTCTGCCTTGGAGCTCACACTTGGCAAGGATAGGTGATAAAAAACAGTTCCTCATTCCGTTGTGGTGTCTGGTGGTCTTAGATTACATCTAAATACTTATCTACCTAAGAAGATTCTGACACGGTGGAATAAGTAATGAGCACATGTCTTTTTATATAATTTGGTATGATCTTATCAATCAATATCTTTTGGAGTAGAGGTCAGAGGTCAGTATGATTCATAATTGTCAGTAGTTCAGTCTTCCTGGTAGACATGAAACATTTCACCTTGTAGAACATTTCCTAAAATACATAACATGTAGTTATTATTATTTACATTTCCGTAACAGATGATAATTTTCTAAGCCTCTCACTGCAGGTCAGACCTTGGATCATTTATAAGTTCTTGATTGCACTACAAAATGAGCTTATAGATCTGTGGTCAAGCTATGAACAGGATTTGTGGCTAGCAGTGGTATTTAACAAAATACTGTTCTGTCTGTTCATCTGCTCCCATGTAGCATCTGGGAATTTTATTGCTTTCTTTTTTGTTTTTATTCAGTTTCATGAAAATACATTTGCTCAACCCATGCAGGAGACAGGGAAAGAGCTGATATCCCTAGTATATGTTAATATCACACAGGAGACGGGGAGAGAATTGATACCCCTAGTATATCTTAATATTACACAGGAGACAGGGAGAGAATTGATACCCCTAGTATATCTTAATATCACACAGGAGACAAGGAGAGAATTGAAATCCCTAGTATATCTTAATATCACACAGGAGACGGGGAGAGAATTGAAATTCCTGGTATATCTTAATATCACACAGGAGACAGGGAGAGAATTGAAATCCCTGGTATATCTTAATATCACACAGGAGACAGGGAGAGAATTGAAATCCCTAGTATATCTTAATATCACACAGGAGACAGGGAGAGAATTGAAATCCCTGGTATATCTTAATATCACACAGGAGACAGGGAGAGAATTGAAATCCCTAGTATATCTTAATATTACACAGGAGACAGGGAGAGAATTGATACCCCTAGTATATCTTAATATCACACAGGAGACAGGGAGAGAATTGATACCCCTAGTATATCTTAATATCACACAGGAGACAGGGAGAGAATTGAAATCCCTAGTATATCTTAATATCACACAGGAGACAGGGAGAGAATTGAAATCCCTGGTGTATCTTAATATCACACAGGACACAGGGAGAGAATGGAAATCCCTGTTATATCTTAATATTACACAGGAGACAGGGAGAGAATTGATATCCCTGGTATATCTTAATATCACACAGGAGACAGGGGGCGAATCAAAATCCATGGTGTCTCTTAGAGCAGGGTCAGCTTGCTGTATTACTCTACATGATCATAACAGTAATTAAGGAAAGGTCCCTACAGAACAGAACTAGGGTCTTTTGTCTTTTTTACTAAGGTGATATTGTAGAAATCAGATAAGATTTTTTTTACACTGTTGGTTGACTCTTTGAAGATGTTAAACTCGATAGAGACGAAAACAAAGGATATATTCTCATTGTCGTATAGATTAATTAATGGGATTGTTAATTGATTTTTGCTGCCACGCCAACCTATCATGTTAAATTATTCCTAAGCTTTAATGATATTACATTGAAAAGATTCGCTGAATGACATACCTATTCAATTTAAAGTAAGACAGTAAGGTACCCCTATATGATGCCTGGGGGGAATGTTGCAGACAAGATGATGAGAAAATAACACAATTAACTGGCAATTGTAATGAGGAAATTTCCAAACTTGTCTTGTTAAAACAGAGATATAGCTGGAATGATAATTTAATATGCAGGGGTTGAAGGTCACTATGGCCTTGAACATTTCCTGCTGTAATAAGAAGGGGAAATGTTTAAAGAGAAAACAAGGCATTATTGACATAACTAGTGAAGTCTTATTCCATTGAGATACTGACAACCAGACAATTTATCTATCATGTGATTATATTTTTATGAGACCTCCCTCTTATACAAGGTGGATGTGGAAGTCTAAATGCTGACTCAATATATATACTCTTTGAAGGATTACATTTTGTAACACCTATTAAATGAGGGAATAGATGATGGCAGTCATTACAACAATAACTGGTAATGCTCCAAAACAGTTGTTTGGTAACATACATGTATTTCTGTTGTAATTGTCGACAGACACTGGCACAGGAATCATTTTCTGTCCAAGTAATTTCATCAGATGGTTGTTGCCATCAGTCAATAATATTTTTACAGCATTATGTCTGAGACAGATTCTGCTAAGGTATTTATTCCTATGTCGGATCTCTCATCATTATAACACAATTGTTCACAAATGAAGAAAGTATTCTGGACATTCTTGTTCCTGAAAAAAAATTATTATATCCATTTACATATATCAAAACAGGGACCATAAGACATTCAGAATTGATGCACGACATATTCACACACCACAAGGAGAACTAATAGTGTTCACAGAATCCTTCATTCCTTAAAGAGGATATGGTGTCTAGAGAAACCAACAAACCATAGGGAGAATATGGTGCTCACAGAATTGATCACTTCACAAAACACATATGATGTTTAAAGAATCCATCAATCTGTAATAAGGAGAATAAAAACCTTAATGTTCTGTAATTACTTACAAAGACTGTTGTTTACAGATGTTATGGTAATGTCTAACTCTGATAAGCTGTTTATTATTTTCAAGAAAGATAAACAGATATTTATTATTATTATGGGGCATGAGTATAGATAACAAACACTTCTGATAATGACTGAGTGTGTATAATGTGATGAGGCTGGTGATACTCTGGCTACAGGTGATCAGCACCAGAAAAGTGGTGGCTGCAGCTGTTACACAAACCCTAGTAGAATGCAGTACTTAGGATAACTAGAACTGACACCTGAGTACTGAAGAATCTCTTGTCATAGCGTTATAAACACTAAAACTTGAGACCAGCTAGTTTAGCGATTACCTATATTACAAGTCCATGGTACTATGTGTTGTTTCATTTTCTGAGAGGTTTTTTGATAAGGTTTTGGAAAGAATGAGGGGATAGGGTGTGATCATCTTGTGCATTCCTGACAATCAGCTGAGACATAACACTACACACTTCCCTCCATAAACCTCCACATCAACAGACCATCCAGGATCTAAGAAGGATAAATGTGTGTGTTTTGGAATCAATTGTTTATATAGCTACCTCATATTCATCACAGCTGTGGATCCTTGGTAATTAAAAGTGAGGATGTGCCGCTGTATAAGTCAGGGAGACTCCGTGTATCTACTGCATCATCAACATAAACTGATATTCTCGTGGGGACAAAAAGGATTTATCTGTTGTTATAAACTATTGAACGAGTCCATTTTTTTCAAATTCAACATACAAAGTTGTGGTTCTTAGCTTTCACCTTTTAACATTGTCTGTTATATGAGGTTTCATGCCCCCCTCCCCCTAGCCATCACCTTATGTTTTCATGCCCCCCCTCCTCCCAGGCAATCACCATAGGTCACATCTACTGTTTAGAGAAATTAATGTTAAACATTGATACTTTATTTTAGGAGTGTAGACATTAATTTCACTTTTTGGTGATATATTGGGTGTTCAGTAACCAATCTTTTCTCTGTCTAACTTTATACAGAATTATTGCCATTTATTGTTTTAAGGAGTTGTGGACTTTTCACGGGATTTTGTTTTTTTTAATGTTATTTGCTGTGACATGTTGTACTGCTTTGTGTAATACCTATATAAAGCTTATGAAGAACAGCTGTAAGAAATCGCTTGGATGCTAAATCCTGGTAACACGAAAAAGCCATTGTGATAGTGTGTTTTACTTGTAGAAGTATGGTACATGTATATTGTTAGGCTATTATACCCTGTAAGAAACCTTGCACGTTCGACTAAACAAGAGGCAGTTAGCTTGATTGTCTGATTACAAGTTGTATGTAACTTATCTTTGTGGATCATCAATCTTGTATGACCTCATAAAGACCAGTAACATTTACACAGACGTAAAACTTCAGGGGAATATGTTTCATTACTGTTTATCTGTTTTGTCTTGGATGAAACACAAAGGAAAATTCATTAAAACATAAGACTGACATGACTTATCTCTTCAAGGCGGAAACACAACCATAATTTGTTTAGTTAGCTGAATCATTTCCACAAAAACAAAACTACAACAAGGAAAACCTAAAAACCTATCATACTTAGATTTAGCTTTTCTTTGTCATCTGATTCATAATTCATAATTAAATCTAGGAAATGTTATACAAACTTGGTAACTTATACTTTCTTTTTCTATTTGTCTGGAATGAAACATGATCTATACTTAAGACTTAGTGAGAGAAACATTTCTGAACTTTCAATATACACATATATTTTTGACCATTGTGTCAGTGAAAATTACCAGGGTAAGTTGCTTGATTATTCCAAGATGGGTAAAAGCACACAAGAAATATTATCTTTTAGCTATTTTCTTTAGGAAAACATTTCAAATAATTCAATTAAGATCTAGTTTTCATATTTTCCTTCTCCGGTAAGTACATGTGATTCTCAGTTTTCAGTATATAATTTCCGTTTTAAACAAACAAAAAAACAAAAATAGGTACTTTAATTATGATAGCCATAACATACCAATGGAAAAAGTTCTGGTGAAAGAACGTCTTTCTCTGTTTTTCAGATTTTGTAAAAATTTCCTGTGATGGACTTGGATCATAACTAGGACTAGTGTATACCTCAGTGTTCAACAAATCCAGATACAAAGTCAAGATGGCTGCTGGTGTTCTTATCAAGGGTAGACAACTGCTGCAGTCGACAGAGATTGAGTATGGCAACCAGCCACCCAACACAACTGTTGTTGTTCCAGACAGCTCAACATTGTCACCGCACCAGTCATGTGATCAGATAGACTATCATTATGACATCGCAATCAGTGTCATTTGTTCTATGTGTTTCATATTTGGAATTATTTATACATTCTTTGGTAAGTAATTTTTACATAAATATTCTTAACGTAGTGAACTTGTAATCAGCCCACTCCTTTATTGCTTTTCAGTAAACTTAAACCAATATAATTCTTCATGGTCCAATGATAAGCATATATCCTGACATCAAGTTAATGTGTTAGCCCCTTGTGCTTTTTGAAGAATAAATTTGTTAATACTTGTATCTGATCCATGATTTATAATTCTGAAAGTTTAATGACTAAAAATTATATCAAATGGTAACAATTGATATTTTTCTATTATATCACTTATTTATCTCTTCCAGGTTACCGGTTCTTCAAAGCCATAATGTTTCTGACCGGGTTTATATTCAGTGCTGTGCTAGTGTATGTGATATTATCTGAACATCAAGTGTTACCATTATTGGGAAACATTGGGGTCGCTGTGGGAGCAGGAATATTGTGTGGAATTATCACAATGCTTGTGCAATATGTGGGACTATTTCTTACAGGCTTTCACCTTGGAGTTTCTGTAAGTATCGCAGTACTTATAGTTCTGGAGTTCTTCTATCACCCACAAACTATCTGGATTCCAATTGGTCTTTTATCAGCAATGGGATTACTCTTTGCAATTTTGACCTTGAAATTCCAAAAATCCTTTACTATATTTGGAACTAGTGTCTTTGGCGGAGCATTGATGGTGGCATGCCTCGACTACTTCATTGAAAAGTTCATGATTCTGGTATTTTCGTGGGAGCGTGTAAAGGGAGTTGTGTCTGAACCCATCTGTTGGTATAGTTGGGTGATTCTTGGTTGTTGGCCATTCTGTTTCATAGTAGGAAGTATAACACAGTGGAAAATCACAGGCCAGGGCTACGACCACAGGGAAGGTAAGATTTCCTTGTCTGCTGAAACTATCGACAATTGTTTTCTACATGTGTATTTCTGAGGCAAATGTCTCAAATTAATACTATAAATGTACATGTTTTAATAGTGATCCTACTTAGTGTGTGTTATGTTGAAATAGACTGTACAAATCCATCATTGAAAAATTTTTCCAATAAGTGATAAAGCACTAAAAATATTGATTGCACCAAGTTAAGGATGTTTATAAGTGTATAAAGCCTCTTTTTACGCCATGGATAATAGTACATGAAGGTATAGCATTGGTTTTTACCTTACCAATAAATATGTAGGATAAGTTGTTTCAATTTATATTTTATAATCTTCTCAAAAAACTTTCGATTATCAAAATTTTATGTTCAGGTTCCTGACATTTCTCGTTTTTAATTGTTATGATATGTTTGCAGCTGGCCAGAACCGACGAATGAAGAAAGTAAACCTCCAGAGAGTTCGACAGCGTCAGAAACATGAAACCCAACATTCTCGGTACCGACATTTGTATCAGACTCGTAGACTCACAGGCGATGTCATAACACAGGTAAACATAGTCCTATAGATTTGCAGATTCTGATGAAACTCATACTGAAGGTTTTCATATTGTCACTTCCTGTATATTGGACAATATTACACTATATGTTTTATTATGGATATCTTCACAGCTTCCTATACAAAATGCCCTTTTTTTCCAAAGTTAACATGGATAGGATAGATAGTAGTAATACAAAATGATATTAATTCTAGCTTTTGTCTTTCATCGTGAATGTAGATGCAGTTACTCAAAATCAGGCAATAGGTATAATACTCTAGCTCTTTCTCATGTTTTAAAATCTAGAGAATAGATGAGGTGTGTAAAGTGTTGATCAGGTTGATGTACTTTTGCTACTGATTATAATAATCATGGTGTTTGTAATCTCCTAACAGGGATATCTAACATCAGAACACCAGAAGCTGTCACCATCTACAAAACACCAGACCATCATTCCTACAGAACACACGCCGGAACTGGAAAGTACAAATACCACACTGACACAGATTCCCTGAGATCACCCACTTCCAAGATCTCCTGTACTTTGTTCTTTTGTGCAGAGGACAACAGGACAAAACACTGAACATTTTATATGTCTAAGTTATGGGTATCTGCTTCCAGCATTCCTTGATTATGTAGTACAGTCATCATCAGGCTCGCTTAAGTGTTTACATCTGCTTTAAATGTTATAATTAAATTCATCCTGATCACCTGTATGTTTTATATGATTGCCTACCAGGTATATGTTCATGCATCTTGTTCATCTGTATGTTTGACCTGTTATTCATCAGGGTCATCAGAATGGTTAATCACATGTAACTCATTGCAATGACTTGTAAATCGCAGTTAGAATTAATCATGATCATGTATAGCTATTGACCTGTCAATTTGCATACAATATTTTATACCTGTATTTTTTACCTTTAACAGATCTCGTTGCTTGTTGAATTTTAAAACAGGGTTTATTTTAGATTAATATTAGAAGAATCCTAGAACCAGCTCAAAATTGTTGTTCGTTAAAACTTAAACTTACAACAATTCTGAGTAAGCGGTATATAGATGTTTTTTTGGAGATTGAACAGTGGCTGGATTTGGAGAGGACATGTGGGTGTATATTATAACTGTACAGTGTAGACATGTACAACTTAAGCATCATTAGATCTAGATTTGTTTCATATAAAGAAATGCTGTGTTTAATTCCTGTTCAAGGCGACATTATACAGTAATAATCTGTCAGTGATGGAACCACTGCCATTTACCTGTTATTGACCTTAAATCTTCCTACACATGTTAAAAGTGATTGCAGTAAAATGTAAGTTTAGATATAATGATTTGTCCTCGTCTCTGTGCAATATAAATCAGTATTGACTCCGTACTCTTATTATTTTTGTGCTTTGTTTGGTTTGTAGATTGAAGGGTTTTTTATTGCGCTTAATTTGTATCAGAAGATCCTAATGAGGAAACCTATTAGAAAATAAAGTTACAACTTTTGAGTGTAATAGTAATGTACACTTTTTGTATTTCATCTTAAAGAATGTAAAATTTAAACTTTGATTAAATGTTGAATCCTTATCTTAAACTTATTTTGGCAGGTATATTCCTTTGTATGTTTCTCAATTTATGTAAAATTTGGTAAAAATATACAAGGTATTTCTTTATTTGTAGATCAATGTTTTTGTTTATTATTTTCTTAAGTTTTATCATGAATAGCATCATAATGAAATGTAGGAAAGGAACTGGATACTGAACTTTTGCATAATAATTTGCTTTACTGCCAGATATCATTTTTGTATCAGATTTACAGTGAACAACATACAATTTTTATCTATATTTGGCAATAGTTACACTTAATCAATTAGTTGAACAGTCACGATTCCTTAAGATCTCTTAAGCCCCCTTCACTATTTCTTTTTTCAAAATATCACAATTTTTTGTTGTCTGTGACTGTACCCAAGGCGAGAGAAAGAATATGTAAGGCTATCTTTCTGTTCATTGTGGTATGATCTTTCAGTATTTCTAAGACATTATTTTATTTTGGAGCATATTCTAGAAGATGAAGACAAATGCTTTCCGTTAAAACTTATTTTTTAACATGGAATGTCTTTTTGTTTCTTTAGGGAGAATTTTACACAATTTCATTTCGAAAAAGAAGGAATTTGTTGTTAAAAAGGTTTAGTGCGATGCAGTTTCTTTAATGTTACAAATGGCTGCATGCACACTCCATGGTCACATTTTCGATGAAAAACGTCCCTTTAGTGTTGTCTTTCTACCAGCTGTCATGCATATTGCATACAAGGTTGTAATACAGACTGCATCGATATATATAGAGATTTATTGATAAAGAAGATTAATTTTATAATAAGTACATTAAACTCCACACGTAGACAGAAACCTAATGACAGGTTTGTGTGTTTATATGTGAAATGTAAGAAAGCCTCCTTAACTTAAGCAAAGTTGCTGTTTTCATTGTTATGTAAATAAAACGTTTTCTGAAATACTGAAATTTTCATTTAGTTGTTCTTTTCGTTTCGACACATTCTAACTTCCCAGAGTAGCTTCCCTTTCATTTCACTCCTTTAATATCCTGCTGATGAAGCCTGCAATTTTTTCTGAACTCTGTCACATGACCCCTCTAAGTTTATCAGTGCTTAACACAAAGGATGATATATCTAATCTTGACAGTTGATGGGAATGTTTTGGTGATACACATTTCAAAAATTGAAAAAAATTCATAGCATGTATCGAAAGACAATATTATACGGTAGGCATTACTGATCCTTTGATTTTATAAAACAAAATCACAAGCAACACATTTCTTACAAAATTTATTGTTTTACTGAGAAACAATGTAGGATCCCCTAGACAGTAATCTGATAAAAATACATATATTTATCAAAAGAAGTAGAGTTCCAATTGACTAGAACACAGTGCCAGATTTATAAACAAAGCACCATGTCAATGTTGATGTTGGTTGACCAGCAAGAAGCACCATTTTGCAGACTAGTTCATGTCATATATTGTACTGAAGTTCAAAATCAAATCCTTAATGCTCATTTTTCACCACGCAGACAATACATAAATATCTGTAATGAACTGGTCTTGCTGTAAACAGCTGGTGTTAACAAGCCAAACACAATCTCTAGTATATATCACATGATCAGAAGCACACACATTCTGATCATCCACAGTTACCTCCCTTCATTTCACTCTGTTATAACATTAGGTGGTTGGGGCTGAGAATGAAGGACACAAGTCTATCGCCCATGCTTTATACATAAATCAAATCCAGCAAAAACGTAGTACAAAATTGCAGACTGAAGTATAATTTAATTTGGTTAAAAAAAAAACCAAATGATATGGAAAATGTTCCATAAGATAAAAAATCCCTGAAGCTGTATTTATATCTTTTACAAAACGTGTTTCTGTAAATCCATCTGGTTTTCATTAAACATCATGCTTGATTGTCAATGTTAAAATTTAAGGTAAATCTGGCTCTGAAATATGCTGTTCCTTCTAGTGCCCTATAAGATTAGTGAAGTAGGAATGTTCTGGTATTACAACCCTGAAGATTAATAAAATATGTAGTCTGATAGTGCAATACAACCAGCCTTACAGATTCCATGCAGAACATAAACCTGACTTAAGACCACTGCTCCTATATCAATACACACACAAATGTTAGCGTATAATGTTGTACAGATCCTTCACAAGGTCAAAGGTTGAAGATTCTTACAAGCAAAACACATGTAGTATTTTATTTAGTTAAATCCATCATTTGACACTCAATTCAAAGAAATGCCACTGAACATGGTAATTATACCATCATAACTGATGAAAATCGTTTCTTATTACTATGACCAACGAGTAACAAACCTGGGATAGTGTGTAAGAGTTGCCTCCCTTGAAACCAATGGCAGTCATTTTCTACAGATTTCTGTATGGTATGGATTATAAAGTATGAAACATCAGTCTGGTGGTCCATTAAACATTGCTGCCTTAAACCCATTCACAACTGATATCAATATTACTATTAAGTAAATCACTTCATTAAATGGAAATTGAGTTCGTATAAAATTCTATTTTGATTTTGACATACCAGAAGAATATAACAGTATACAGTTTCATTCCAAGCTGCATTATGACAGTGAACTATCAGGTGAAATTTAATGTCACATCCCACTGGTATGTAAAACATGTTTATAATTCATAGATTGTCTGAAGCACACACATTTTATGTATAAAACAGCACTCCAACAATTTTAAGGTTGACCAACAAGATTCAACAGAACTATCTCTCATTTAAACAATCAAGAAAGTTATCCACATCATCATCATCAGTCTCCACTTCCTCAGAGTTATTTCCAATCCATTGTTCATCAGTTTCCAAAGTCTGTGTCCTTTTCCAACCCGGAAAACATTTAAAAAGGAGGTTCTCTGCACATACTATTACTAGTGCTGAAACAAGCATCCAGCTTAGAGCTCTTTGAAAATACCGATCCTTGCTATCCAAACCTTCCCATGTCTGCTTTATAACCCACATGCCAAAGGTCACCAGTATTGAAGTGATCTTACAAACAGATGGCAGCAACAATATAACAACATGGCTGACACTTGTTATCACCTTGTAAAACTTTGGAAGTAGATACCACAAAATCTCTTTTATAATCTCATACAGACTTCTTCCTAATTCAGAAATAAAACTTTTTAAAAGTGACATTCTGTAATTGTTTCCAGTTACATTAACAATACAAATAAAATCTTATCGATTTGCTTAACATCTTTGTAAATACACATAACTGAAAGGAGTGTTAAATGAAATATAAAGCAAAATACATAAGAATGGTAAGACACCATTTCACAATTCAATTTAAACACAAACTGTGCTACACTGAAATGATCAGTATATCCATTTTGGCATGATTCTGCCCGGAATGACGAATCATTCTTCATGATCATAATGTCCTTTTGCATTTCTGAATATAAGTCACTGTCCATATCTTTGTATTATCTGACAGTAAACAAAGCTGATCTAGAATGTTAAGGAGAAACATTTCTGTTATGATTTACAAAAATCCTCTAGAGCATAGAATGCTGAAGAAGATTCAGCAGTTCTGTCATCTCCAACTGTCAGCCACTCCTAGGTTTTTCTGGGTCCTGAACTCCAGTTTCCTATCAAGATGTATCATCTTCAAAAGTATTTCCACTCTGTTTCTCTGTAATAATAAAAACTGTAAGTTAATTTAGTAAATATTTGAAGTACACATTTAACAATGTAAGAAAATTAACTCTGTTCAGTCTTCATTCCTAATACTAAACAAACACTACTGTATCTACCATGTGAAAACCCCAGGGGCCAATACACAATCTCTCAGGGGAAAAGTAGGAAGGTAGGCTTATTATAAGTTTAAAATATATATAACCATTACACCAAGTATAGCTTTACAGAAAAATCATTAACTGCTAGTCAGTTGATGTGACATTACTGTGACAACTGCATGCCATTGTTCATGCATATTCATCTGCACTAATAAAATCAATTGAGAACATGTGACATGAAAGTATGTCATGTTCTCCATTTTAACTGAGGCAGATGCCAGTCTGGTGGGGCTGCGACAGCTCAGCTTGTTAGAGTGTAGGGTTTTGTAACTTAGTAAAGGTGGAGATCCGAGGTGCATCGTTCGATGCTTCATGTCTACAGTTATTTTACTTGGGAACCTGAGAAACTGATCATGACCAGTCTGTTCTACTGCTGGCGTGTCTTCAGGCAAGAGACACTTTACCCTAATTGCTTTGGATGGCATGCAACAGGCATTTTGTATGTTGTTCAGTGAGGTAGCCACCAGCTTCTAACAGGAGACCCTGCCTCAAAATAATCCTAGCTGTTCAAGGGTGTTACACTAAACAAACAAACAAAATGAGAGGCTCAATGAGCATGCATCAGGCACTTGGCTAATGCTAAATAATTCTCTATTTTCCCTATATGCCTGATTTTTAAGAACTGACATTTCCCCCTATTGGACTTCACATCTCTAATATGTCAGACTCCTGATTGATACAAAATCAGATTCATTCAACTAGGTATGCTTCAGACCAAATCAGGACAGAACCAAGGCATTCCCACAAAAGAAAGATTTTAGATAATTACCTTCATTTCCACTATTCTGCCCCACCCCCTTGGTTGACAACCACCATTTATATGAAAGTAATTCCCCTTCATCCAATAATGCTTTAGACCACCTTTGGGTAGAATCCAATCATTCCTAAAGGAGGGAAGGTTTTTTAAAGAATTTATTCTATTTCCCCGATTGGGCCCCACCCCTCAGGCCCCTGGGAGCCAATATTTACATAAACTTGGTTTCTCTTCCCCAAAGGATGCTTCTGACAAAATTTGGTCAAAATCTGTCCAATCATTCACGATTAGTAGTGATTTTAGTACAAAATAAAAAGCTGAGGAATGATTGATGCTGTACCATGGCATTAGCTAAGCTATCCTTTCGACCCGATGAGATAAAAATAGCCTCTCCGGTTGGCACAGTATCATCTACTGATAAAAAAAGATTTGTATTGACTTCATCAAGGGAAACCCATAACGTTCATTGGTTCTTATTGCTTATTGTAATAAGGGATATAAAAATACTAGCCATGTATAACTGACACTGACACTGGTCACCTTTATGAGTTGAGACTCAACTGACAATAGGTTTACGTTTCTTTTGTTTTATCACTACATTGTTTTAAACTGTAAATGGTATTAACCACAACAAATTAAGAAATTAATAAAATCATGAATCGCTAGAAACAGAGATAATGCTTTCGAAAATTTATATCGTGATTTTTGACATTTTTATTCAAATATGTAATATTTTTGTCAACTATATTTTGCAAGTCTCTACATTTTGATATAGACATTACAAAGGTAGTTAAGTGATACACTGTGAGTGGAAAATGAAGAACGAAAAAACAAGGAGGAAATAAAACCCCAGTAGATTATTTGTTTTATCATACTTACAGACACCTACCCGAAAATGGACTGGATGTTTTCTGAGGTACCCGTTTTTGAGTTCAGTAGAAATCTAAATTTCGGTGGAAGCAACCAAAAACTACCAAACGTCAGGAGCCTATGGAATCAGCATCACTTACTTGTAATTAAAGTGCATGAATAGTCACACTCGATGTCTATAGCTTGGAAGCCTAGCTACTTTCACTTTTCAGTAGACATATTGTTTTTAGAAGCGGTAATCTTAACGCAAAAAACGGATGACGGAAAAGATCTTACTATCCGGAGTTTTTCAATACAATATATATTATTTCTTGTTGTAAAACGGGTATAATTTCGTGGGTTTTTTCATGTTATTAGATAAAGTAATGGACGTACCATACCCTTGTAGTTTTAAACAATTTTATAACAGAAATACTTGAGTGACATTATATTCTCTCAATCTAGAGTGCATATATGCAGTTTTTTCTATGGGATACCATGGTTTACCTCCCCTTTGCGACTATCGAGTCGTAGACACGAGAGAGAACCATCATCTGATTTGGTCAGGGGCGTTTGATAAAGACTCCCCTGGATTTAGTCTAAAACAAATTAAACTGCGAGAAGGTCCAAAATTTGAAAATACATTTCAACAGAACAGTTGATTATTACTGTAGCAATTAAAATTTGAAGATTAACAACTGAAAACTATTGATCAAGGATTTGAATTGGACGGATCAACAACATCTACCGTGAATTGAATCTTAAAGTAACCCATTACGCCAAGAAAAAGAAGAACGATGATTAGAAATTGATTAACCACAGCATTTTAAAAGATTTTTTCTCTACTGTGGCATGCTTCTATCCAATATAAATACATAGTACAGAGAAAAGCTCGAATTCATTGAACTCGTACGTTTTATATCTTGTTAAGATTGATGAGTTAATTTAATAAACAGCAGTCAATGAGCCAATTTATTGATGTCATCTAGTTGCTTGGCAACATCATTCCATGTTCTTAATTCTCAAGCAACAAGTCCGTGATTTTTTTTTTTTTTTTTTGCGAGTCCAGTATACTGATATAAAATGTACTAAATGTGATACTACCCCGCCAACATACTCTTCTTTTAACCAAGTCTTGAAAGTCAATTATGTCAGGTCAGGAACGTATTTCTACTTTTCTTAGTTGTTTCACATGCTAAAAAATGCATATTTGTATCTATGTAATATCGTTTGTAAAACACCAATATATTAGAGGCCCACAAATACTACATAATTAATCCTACATCCTATTCGCATTTGGAATAAAGGAATTGAATAAATTGACATTATACCCATATGTCTACACGGAGACTGTCAGTTGAATATGTCGTACTATGTACCGACATCTCCCTATTATTATTATGGCAGGTGTCGTCGAGTTAAACATGTAACCATCTTTTGCAAGGGTACGTCTATCGTGCTTAGTTCTAAGGAACTTGATAATTTTCAGAGCATTTGCTATTATGCAGTTGTCTTGGAAAGGTTAGTTGTGTTGGGGTGGATAGTTGGCATTGAGTGGATGGTAGTGAGTAGTTGTCTCGTATTATACGTCCCTGGTAGCAGCGATGGACGAAAATGATGTGGGTAACAATATATTAAACAGTAAATGTTATCACTGCGCTTTATGGTTCTATTCTAACCTATGTCTTCCTTTGTAAAGTCATTGCACACTTATGTTAAGTAACTATACAAGAGCTGTCCATTATATGTTGTTATGAATGCATATGAGCCGTAAGGCTTCAAGTTAAATAAACAATGAGCAATCGCGCACATATCTCGCAGAGAACAGAAGTATAGGTATGTATACCGAGTGTATTACTACATGAGCTCAACAGTTTTAAGATGATTATGACGAATATATACTCAACTAGACTGGGAATACTATTACTTGGGAATTGGGTGGCAGTATAGAAATTAATTATATATATATATAAATAAATATTTTGTTTTCAAAAAATGAAGTTGACTATTAGTTTATATTATCTCAGCTTCCTTAGATATCATCAGATTTTTAAAATTCAGGAATTACCTGTATAAAAGAAAATGTAAAACTTGATTCCTTTCTATCAATATACTTCCGATCATTTCATACGACATTAGCTTTCGACACAGGTAATCGCATGTAAAAAAACGGTTCATTTGAAATAAACTATAATCCGTTTAAGAACATTCCTTTGCCGATGTTTTTTTTTCAAACGTGGGCAAACTGGGATACAGCCATTTGTACGTCGAAGTGGGAAGTAGTGGGTAGTTGTCTCGGAGGTAGGGGTTTTAAGCTTATTGCTATACCATCTGACAGAGTGAAACGAAGGGGAATAACTCTTGGAGATCAGAATGAGAGTTGTACCGACGCTTGTACTTCAGACAGGAGGCGGTCAGAACGGCTTGTCCAACTTTCGGTTATATCATGATATCATCGCTCGTGAGCCTAAGGACATAGTTTTAGGACTGGTCTAAAGTTTAAACCTGATTTACATCAATGACCTACCCGATTCTATCTTAACTGATCGATATCACTACACTGTAATAACAACGAAATGTCAAGAGGGAGGGAACACATCTTCACCGAAAGGACACAGGTATATTAAACAAAGAACTTGTTCTCTGTTATGTACGCCGACATAGCAAGATGGCGACGCCGAAGCACACTGTACTGTATTACCAGAGACATAAAACAAAATAATATGTTTTATATACGTCTCTGGTAGAGCCAACATTCAGACCTTAATTATAAGTGTACTTTATAGGGTGTTATTTTCTAGTTTCCTGCAGTGAAGATCTCGGGAAAGAAATGTTGAACACCAGAACCTATGCAAAAGAAACAAATGGGCTTTGAAATCCATGTAAAATTAATATAAAGTTGATGTTGATCATAACTCAGAATTTACAATTACCGCTATACCATCTGTCAGAGTGAAACTAAGGGAAGTAACTCTGTGAGATCAGAATTAGACATTGAAGCGGGTAGGATGGCAAGGGATCATTATTTTCCGTTAGTTTCCCTGCTCATTTGATATCGATATTATAATGACAGTTGCACCATTAAGCTGAAAGTTTTGAAGTAAACAATTGAAATTATATATATATATATTAACTTAGTGGGTAACACAGAGATTTCAGCGCCAACCATTAAGCTGACGATACTTTATGTGTTTACTGTAACATGTAACCTGCTAATGTTTCTCAAAACCAGTGAAAATATATATGATATATATGTGTGAGAGTGTCAGAGCGTACCTTTAAAACAATGACCACAAACAAACGTGCAAATTCCCATGGTTTCCATTCACTACAACTTCTTCAACTTTATCAGTGGTTTTGAATAACTTCGTTCTCCAAAATACTTGCACGTTCATTTCTATGTTTAATAACAGTGCAATGTGGCGTGATGCTGAAAGATCACCAGTCTCGGTGTGTTTATATACGCTTTGATATCTTAAAACAAAATGTGTATACAATTGTAAAAATGAATGAAACCCACACTTTCACAAGCTCTTTTAGGCACCCTGACCAAGAATTGTAAATTTTGTACACAAGTTAGTGTAAGGAAAATCGCCATGGCGACATTGGTTAGTGTATTGTCAATTTTTCGTCCCAGTGTCCTGGCTTTTAGACAGATGCTTGCAGTTCTAGAAGGCCGAGGTCCGGTTTAGCGTATAATGTTTTGCACCTATGGACAACTATGAAATCAGTCATGGCAACTCACTAAGGAGCGGGCCGCAACACCTTCCGATCAGAACGACAAAGCAAACAAATGCTAGGATTGGTCCAAGTTTTAATTAACATATTTTCTTATAACCTCTGTGAATATGTAATTTTTACAATTGAAAATTATTTATTAACAGATTGAAATATATATACATATGACATTTCACAATCGGTGATATAATACAATATAAACATATAGAAATCAGGTGATAAAATTACATAACAAGTCAGACCGATTACTGTTTGTAAGCAGTTAGTCCACAATCAAACCAGTTAGTAATAGTTTGATGAAACGTCCCTTGGCGGTGGGAACAGTTCCGTTACAGAGACAGAATTCGGGCGGACAGTGATATGGGGCCGTATTACAGTTACTGTTACAGTAATTGTCATCCGCAGGAGCCGAGATAGCCTTACAGGACAACTTATTTTTAGGGGTTGTTGTTTGTTGTTTGGCTGTGGTTGTTGCTGCGGCTTCTGTGGTTGTTACTGCTGCGGCCGTGGTTGTTGCTGCGGCTGCTGTGGTTGTTGCTGCAGATGACGATTTCAAAATGGTTGTCAGTGTCGTTGTGGCTACTGTATTACCGTCCCCTGTTATAGCGATGTCTGAACAGCCATAGAATTCTTCCTGTGGTCCACAACCGAGACAGTCGTGGCCGGTCTCGTTTGTTCCCCAACGATTTTCTGAAATAGTAAAAAAAAAAAAAAAAGAAAAACGACACCTCTGTTATCTTTTACAGTTTAACCACCTATGTCGGAAAGGACCGCTTCTTTCTAGAATCACCACCGAGACATATAGCAACTTTTCTGTATTATCATTAATTATAGTCTGCTTCACAAGCCCCTCGCAAGAAACATTGTTTCGTGTCCCTGTGAGTATCACTGAGTATTTAGTAAGCAGTTGGATGGGTGGCCGTTCGGCGTGCACCCACTGCACGTTACTCTACATATCTAACAACAATAATAATCCACTGACCACTACATGCACCCCAAGAAAAAACTGACGGCTCATGACAAAAGGTCTTGATCTGGTTTCTTGTAACCAAAACATCGTAAACAGTCAGAAATTGGGCACGAAACTTTATAGGCGTGATTTTGGAGTTCACCGGGTCCATAGTTATGAAAATATATTTATTTTAGAACTCATATCATCGCCCACTTCGATATGGATATATCTAATTTGAATTCAATCACAAATACCAAATTATGTTTACAGATTTCTCATGTTGACGGCCTTACCTGTATGATACCGCCACTGCAAAATGCACTGTGAACACGTGACACCTTGAGGGAGTTGAACTCTAGTGACAATGTCCCCTTTCACTGATCCGATATAGTGACGTGTCTCTCCCGTATTGGGGTTTACCAACAGGTGTTTCAGACAGTCCTTTGTAATCGTTTTTGTGACATCATTGTTTTCACAGAGACGGAATTCAAAATAGCCAAGATGATTGGTGGTAATGAGGACAGTGATATCGATGGTGGAATCCTGTGTGTAATGTTTTGTGATTATTCCCTTGGCGTATTTTCCCCCAGCTTCGTTATCCCTTGGCGCTGGCTGGTCGTATGCATCACCACATAATCCACACTTTCCACCAAGATATTTCTGTTTCTAAAATAAAGAGAACGTTTATTGGTTAAGTCTGTAAAGTATGTACGCGGATTTGAGTTTCCTGTTCCTTTCTGGGATATCTACTCACAAGGATATTTGTTGACATACCTAATTTGGCGCCTAAAACTTCTTGGCAGAATACCGCAGTTATAGATATGCTTATCAAAAGTATTTTCTACATAAACTGTTACTATGTGTTAAACGTACAACAGACAACCAAATGATTTTGATAATGAACACCTTTATTTGCCGTGTCAAGTCCATTAGAGATCTAGTTAAGTTGATACAATATTGCTCAAAACTTGCCAAGAAAAAAATTAAACATAAAACTTTAACGAATATTTATAACTAAACTGAACGTGATAAAATAAACACAGTGGAAGATTTTTGTTTTCTCGAATTCGAGAGAATTTTAGATGCCTTAGAGTTATTTCTTAAATATCTATTTGATGACGGTTGCGAAAAGAATACTTTTTTATATTTAGTTATTATACCATTATATGAATTCGAACCATTAAAACACATTGAAAGTAAATGCACGGCTATGATAACGAACGTATAGTGAGAAATATTTTTGTTATTTCCTTAGAGCAAATAAATATGAAATATTATCTACAAAATATGAATTGCTCACCCCTAATCCACCACAAAATAGTTGATTATCATCGTAGTTTTTTGGTGTTTGGAACCCAAATCTCCACATACTGCTCCTGTTTGGAGGGTCCTTAAGGTAACCATGTCCGTGCGCCGAGCCGAGAAGAGTGACCAACATAGAAAACACGACAAACATGATGATTGTGGGTATTCTTAATAGTCTCTGTTGGGACCTTGTCTAAGTAGACTGAGGTTATAATTGTAACGAGAGAGTTTTATATACAGGTGCGAGAAATTTTAGTAACATCGCGAGAAAGTCAACGTCAGAAAAATATGACATAATCTATATGACGCTGCTGTCACACGCGCTGTGACCTGTAAACCAATCAGTGAACACCTGATTACGGGATAATGATAATGAAACGTTACTTCAGGCATACGTATACACGTTTTAAAGTTTTGACAACTATGTCACATATGACGTGTATTATAAACCGGAGTGAAAACAAAAGCAAAGAAGCGTAAGCACCTCGTGACCCCTACGCCCCGTTTGTCTCGATTGGAGCCCAATCATAACATCCCAGGCCTATGCGTCCGGGCAGGGGTTCAGGGGTAACCTCTCAATCCCATTCGTCAAGACACGAGTTTAAAGCGACTCATCCCGCCTTCCAAGCTGAAATTCCAATTAGGTTTTCATACAATACAATACAAAGTCGGTCCAGACAACTATATCGATAAATTGACATATTGAAGCACCTCATATCCATGGGTTTTGAATATGACAATCCTCCAGTCTAAAAAGGAAACAACCCACGGGGGAAGTCGGTACAAGTACATATTTCAGGTTTTGTTCTTTGTTTTTATCTAAATATATTTCATTTGCAAATATACAAATGGAATCAGACGCTAGTTCACGTACAATTCGGCTTCTCTCGTGTGTGATCGGGGAATTTGGTATGGTAACAAATGACGATAAAGAAGTCTGTCCAGAGTGCTGAGCCCTCTCTCTATTTCTTTTATTCCCTTTTTCGCAACTTTTGATACAAAAGAGTTCCAATATAAGTAATACAAAATGCTGAATCGTACCTAATCCAGGATCGATGGAGCGATAAGACCAAGCAATTATCTCCCATCTCTGCACCCATTACATATACACAACACATGAGACATCAATAATGACATATACACGAGACCACAAATTACAATTGTAAAATAGCAACGATAATGAAAAAAGACACTATCAACATTTACAATGTATACATATATCGAATGATGTAGGTATTGTGCTCACAGACTTATGTTAGGAAATCATGCAGAGTGATAAATATGTACCCAGTGTGCAATTGTATACTGATAAACTCGAATGGTTCCAATTATGAGGTAAATATAGCAACAATAAAGTTATTTGTAGCATCAAATATAACAGTTATATAAAACATATTAAACGGTAAGTTGTGGATTTCCGAAACAAAATGGTGTCTAAACTGGGTTCTATCTTTACCAACTTAAAACTTTGTATACGAATGTTTCTCGCATTATTCAAATGTAGATATTCTAAAAAGCAGTGAAAGATATTCTCACAAGGACTGCATTATCAATCAGAAGAGGGGTAATAAGATATTAAACGATTTTTGAAAGTATTTATAGACAGTAGTGATTTCAATGAATTATCTAGTGTTCCAACAGTTAATAGTGGTGTGAAAGAAGATGTTGTAATAGAGGGTACAAATCGGGGAATTCTGTTGGTATTGTTGTTTCCAGGAGTATAAGGATAACTTTCACCAGCAGAAGGTGGTAACTTTTGGTTCAAGAGATCAGGAGTTTGATATGCATCTTCAAACAATAAAAAAAAAAAGAAGAAAAATCCGTTTCTATTGGTAGGTGAAAATTTCCAAACCAGACTTATATAACGCAAAGGTTCATTAAATATATGCAGACAGCCAAGTTATTATAAGGGTTGCCTATCTCTGGGCTTTGTCTAACTGATCAGAATCCAATAATTCGGTACAACCATCCAAAAGGTTAGAAACATAATATATTTGCTAAAATACATATCTAATAATCCTAATGAGTACGTTACGACTTAGTAAATGTCAATTTACGTTAAACATTATCATCACATCAGTATATATAATGTTAATTTGGTCTCCCTAATTAGCGGTAGAATTAAATACAACACCTAAATGTTCAGGGAGATTAGTAAACTTAAGAACTTTTCCGTTTAATTCTTACACTTGATCTTCATCCAATTCCACTGAGTTAGAACAGACCAGTGCATCATTTTTATTATCCTATTTTATTTTTGTGGGGTTAGGGGTTAAATTTGAATAGCCATGTATTCTCTCTCATATTCAACTTGTCTAAACCTTTATTTGATGTTACTTGGGGTTCAAGAAAGGAAGATGACGAAGGTAAGAGGGAAGTTTCATTTGCAAATAGAAGAGACGGGTAGATTTGAAAATTTCGGCAGTATCAGTAGTTATATCTCTTAGTAGGGAAAACATATATGGAGCTAAATTACACACACCCATACACACAAAAAAAAAAAACACACACACACACACACACGCGCGCGCGCGCGCGCGCTCTCCCTACCATACCACGAATATACACACAAACTCCTTGAGTGTACTCTAAATAAGTATTAAATTGGTATCAAATCTTCATTACGTAGAAAGCCTTGTCTTTGTTTTATTTTATGTTTTATGGGATGATAGTTGTGTTTAGTTATGTTTTATGTTGTGAGATGATAGCTGTGTTTAGTTATGTTTTATGTTGTGAGATGATAGCTGTGTTTAGTTATGCTTTATGTTGTGAGATGATAGCTGTGTTTAGTTATGTTTTATGTTGTGAGATGATAGTTGTGTTTAGTTATGTTTTATGTTGTGAGATGATAGCTGTGTTTAGTTATGTTTTATGTTGTGAGATGATAGCTGTGTTTTTGTTATGTTTTATGTTGTGAGATGATAGCTGTGTTTAGTTATGTTTTATGTTGTGAGATGATAGCTGTGTTTAGTTATGTTTTATGTTGTGAGATGATAGCTGTGTTTAGTTATGTTTTATGTCGTGAGATGATAGCTGTGTTTAGTTATGTTTTATGTTGTGAGATGATAGCTGTGTTTAGTTATGTTTTATGTCGTGAGATGATAGCTGTGTTTTTGTTATGTTTTATGTCGTGAGATGATAGCTGTGTTTAGTTATGTTTTATGTTGTGAGATGATAGCTGTGTTTAGTTATGTTTTATGTTGTGAGATGATAGCTGTGTTTAGTTATGTTTTATGTTGTGAGATGATAGCTGTGTTTTTGTTATGTTTTATGTTGTGAGATGATAGCTGTGTTTTTGTTATGTTTTATGTCGTGAGATGATAGCTGTGTTTAGTTATGTTTTATGTTGTGAGATGATAGCTGTGTTTAGTTATGTTTTATGTTGTGAGATGATAGCTGTGTTTAGTTATGTTTTATGTTGTGAGATGATAGCTGTGTTTTTGTTATGTTTTATGTTGTGAGATGATAGCTGTGTTTAGTTATGTTTTATGTTGTGAGATGATATCTGTGTTTAGTTATGTTTTATGTTGTGAGATGATAGCTGTGTTTAGTTATGTTTTATGTTGTGAGATGATATCTGTGTTTAGTTATGTTTTATGTTATGAGATGATAGCTGTGTTTAGTTATGTTTTATGCTGTGAGATGATAGCTGTGTTTTTGTTATGTTTTATGTCGTGAGATGATAGCTGTGTTTTTGTTATGTTTTATGTTGTGAGATGATAGCTGTGTTTAGTTATGTTTTATGTCGTGAGATGATAGCTGTGTTTTTGTTATGTTTTATGTTGTGAGATGATAGCTGTGTTTAGTTATGTTTTATGTTGTGAGATGATAGCTGTGTTTAGTTATGTTTTATGTTGTGAGATGATAGCTGTGTTTAGTTATGTTTTATGTTGTGAGATGATAGCTGTGTTTTTGTTATGTTTTATGTCGTGAGATGATAGCTGTGTTTAGTTATGTTTTATGTTGTGAGATGATAGCTGTGTTTAGTTATGTTTTATGTTGTGAGATGATAGCTGTGTTTTTGTTATGTTTTATGTTGTGAGATGATAGCTGTGTTTAGTTATGTTTTATGTTGTGAGATGATAGCTGTGTTTAGTTATGTTTTATGTCGTGAGATGATAGCTGTGTTTTTGTTATGTTTTATGTTGTGAGATGATAGCTGTGTTTAGTTATGTTTTATGTCGTGAGATGATAGCTGTGTTTAGTTATGTTTTATGTTGTGAGATGATAGCTGTGTTTAGTTATGTTTTATGTTGTGAGATGATAGCTGTGTTTAGTTATGTTTTATGTTGTGAGATGATAGCTGTGTTTAGTTATGTTTTATGTTGTGAGATGATAGCTGTGTTTTTGTTATGTTTTATGTCGTGAGATGAAAGCAGAATTTTTGTTATGTTTGATTGAACTTCAGCAGTTTGGTGTCACCTGAAATAGTTATACTGTCGAGGAACAGTTTCACTCTAATAAGACGATTTATATTCATTTTTCGCTACGAGTTCTCTGGATTCAAAATTTAAAAAAATGACTAGAAAAATGAAGTTAACGATGTAACAATTAAGTTAGCAATATGAAAATTAAGTTAACAATATAATAATTAAGTAAACAATATCAGACTTGATTTAACGATATTACAATTAGGTTAACAATATGGAAATTAAGTTAACAATATATAGTTCTGATGAAATAATTACTTTTCAATACATAACATCAGTTATGTTACCCCTTGTGACAATTATCACTTCCAACTTTGGCATGCGTGTTAGTGTTTAACACTTGTTAAGCTAGTTTTATTGGTAAACAAGACGAACCGCTGAGATGTCATTCATTGGTCAAGGCGAATGGTTGACTGGTTAAAAGGGTCATAGTGATATTATGTAACGCAAAAGGTTCCAGGCATTAGATATACGTTGTGGTCTATGAGTTTTGTTGTGATGTCCAAATATAGCCAAAATTGCATTATACTTCTTCTGAAATCGGTCATTCGAAAAGCTACGTCAATTATTTAGATCAGTATCAAGGATCTGTGTCCACGGTTTTAGGGAGGTTTCTCTAGCTCTCTGAGGTGTGAAACTATATACGATAAGACTAATTAATGCAGATCCAGTGGTTTTTCGAAAACGGTCAAATTAAAAATGACTTTTATAATCACGGAGC